ACCTCCCTTTGGATATCCCTCCGCAGCTCACACAACTCGTTTTATCGCGTGTCGTAACAAGGAGACCACAACGTCTTTCTCCGTTTTCATTTTTCCTTCCTTTCAAATAGCGGGGGACACACCGGGAAGGGAGAAGTGGCTCTCATTACCGTTTATCGCCGGACTATTTTTTTTAGCGGAAGGAGACTAGAACTCCGCTCAGAAGGAGGAGCGATAAGTCACAGAGGTCTATAAATACCTGAGGGCGGAAGCGAAGCGGACATATTCGGCGCTGCCATTGACGAAAGGAGAGGTCGGAGAGAGTTTTGTCAACGGAAGCGACGGTCGGGATTCGTTTTTCCTAGTTGAAGCGGTCGTAGCACATTGGTAAGACGGCGGAGAGGGTGGTCGGGAAAGGAGGCCGCCTTTCGAGCGACGTGGCGGCGCCTCCGGGGTGTGGCGTCACCGGCCTCCATTGTGGCGAGGCGCTGCCCGGCGACGTGGGGGGGGGGCGGAGGGGGCTCGGCGAGGGTCTTCCTGCGCAGCTCCTGCCAGAGGGGAGATGGGGTGGCTTCGTGGCGGGAGGCGCGCCTGAGGGGCGAGCGCGGCGCTTTCTGCGCCGGCGAGGTAAAAAGGAATAAACCGAGACCAGCCCTCCCCCCCCCCAATAAATTCATTTTTATCGTGCTGTAATGGAGGTCCTCACAAAGAAGCGGGCAAAAGCCGTGTCGTGGCGGTCGGGAGACGCGCGTTTTAAATGGGTGGGGAACCGTATAAGCGGGAGCCTCAGCTGACGCAGATACATAGGAATATACTGTAGTAAAAATGCTCCCAAGTATGCAGCACAAAGCAGCAAACTCGTGCTTATTTTTTAAAAAACGGGGATGAGGAGAGTCGGTTGCCAGAAACCTACGGGGCTAATTTTAGGAGTCCTGGGTAGTTCTTCTTCACACCTCGCCCCCAAAGTGCAATGCAAATCGTTCCGGGAAAGTGCGTCATAATTACAAAAGATTTGGCATGTGATCGGCTGGCGTTATATTGGCATTGTTTGTAGCAGTGAGCTGCCTTTGAGTCAGTTCTAATAAGGGGAAATGGGATGTAAAGTATTAAAGCAAAAAAGGGGGGTGGCTTGGGAAAGCGCATGCGTAGTATGTATGTTTATGAGCAAAAGCAAAGGGGGGGGAATAAGTGTGAGATCACTGAATTGGTTAAAAGGGGGCTTCAAAAGGTCATCCAGCTCAGCTCCTTGGTGGTTTTGTAGTGAGGGTTCTCCCCCCCTGCTTCTGACCTTAGTGCGTAGTATTTGAGGATATCAAATAGTTCTTAGCTTGACTAGGCTTGCCATTTTGGCCTCTTTTTCTGCTTGTAGATGCATGGGAGACAATTCCATTGTATCTGTTAATTGCTGATACAATATGAAAAATGTTGGAAACTTATTTGACAGTATACTCATATTGGTTCTGATGGGTGTTAAAAACCTCACAGGCTTTTAGTGTTTCTGGTTATTGGATAACTTCTGCATTGCTGAAATGGGAAGGTGTTGAAGTATGAGATATTCATAATGTCTTATTATTGCAGATAAAAAATGCAGATCTTTGTCAAGACACTGACTGGCAAGACCATCACCCTGGAGGTGGAGCCCAGCGACACCATTGAGAATGTGAAAGCTAAGATCCAGGACAAAGAAGGCATTCCCCCTGACCAGCAGAGGCTGATCTTTGCCGGAAAGCAGCTGGAAGATGGCCGCACGCTCTCCGACTACAACATCCAGAAGGAATCCACCCTCCATCTTGTGCTGCGTCTGAGGGGAGGTATGCAGATCTTTGTCAAGACACTCACTGGCAAGACCATCACCCTGGAAGTGGAGCCCAGCGACACCATTGAGAATGTGAAAGCTAAAATCCAGGACAAAGAAGGCATTCCCCCTGACCAGCAGAGGCTGATCTTTGCCGGAAAGCAGCTGGAAGATGGCCGCACGCTCTCCGACTACAACATCCAGAAGGAATCCACCCTCCATCTTGTGCTGCGTCTGAGGGGAGGCATGCAGATCTTTGTCAAGACACTCACTGGCAAGACCATCACCCTGGAGTGGAGCCCAGCGACACCATTGAGAATGTGAAAGCTAAGATCCAGGACAAAGAAGGCATTCCCCCTGACCAGCAGAGGCTGATCTTTGCCGGAAAGCAGCTGGAAGATGGCCGCACGCTCTCCGACTACAACATCCAGAAGGAATCCACCCTCCATCTTGTGCTGCGTCTGAGGGGAGGCATGCAGATCTTTGTCAAGACACTCACTGGCAAGACCATCACCCTGGAGGTGGAGCCCAGCGACACCATTGAGAATGTGAAAGCTAAAATCCAGGACAAAGAAGGCATTCCCCCTGACCAGCAGAGGCTGATCTTTGCCGGGAAGCAGCTGGAAGATGGCCGCACGCTCTCCGACTACAACATCCAGAAAGAATCCACCCTCCATCTTGTGCTGCGTCTGAGGGGAGGCATGCAGATCTTTGTCAAGACACTCACTGGCAAGACCATCACCCTGGAAGTGGAGCCCAGTGACACCATTGAGAACGTGAAAGCTAAGATCCAGGACAAAGAAGGCATTCCCCCTGACCAGCAGAGGCTGATCTTCGCCGGGAAGCAGCTGGAAGATGGCCGCACGCTCTCCGACTACAACATCCAGAAAGAATCCACCCTCCATCTTGTGCTGCGTCTGAGGGGAGGTATGCAGATCTTTGTCAAGACACTCACTGGCAAGACCATTACCCTGGAGGTGGAGCCCAGCGACACCATTGAGAATGTGAAAGCTAAAATCCAGGACAAAGAAGGCATTCCCCCTGACCAGCAGAGGCTGATCTTTGCCGGAAAGCAGCTGGAAGATGGCCGCACGCTCTCAGACTACAACATCCAGAAGGAATCCACCCTCCATCTTGTGCTGCGTCTGAGGGGAGGCATGCAGATCTTTGTCAAGACACTCACTGGCAAGACCATTACCCTGGAGGTGGAGCCCAGCGACACCATTGAGAATGTGAAAGCTAAGATCCAGGACAAAGAAGGCATTCCCCCTGACCAGCAGAGGCTGATCTTCGCCGGGAAGCAGCTGGAAGATGGCCGCACGCTCTCAGACTACAACATCCAGAAAGAATCCACCCTCCATCTTGTGCTGCGTCTGAGGGGAGGTATGCAGATCTTTGTCAAGACACTCACTGGCAAGACCATCACCCTGGAGGTGGAGCCCAGCGACACCATTGAGAACGTGAAAGCTAAGATCCAGGACAAAGAAGGCATTCCCCCTGACCAGCAGAGGCTGATCTTCGCCGGGAAGCAGCTGGAAGATGGCCGCACGCTCTCCGACTACAACATCCAGAAAGAATCCACCCTCCATCTTGTGCTGCGTCTGAGGGGAGGCATGCAGATCTTTGTCAAGACACTCACTGGCAAGACCATCACCCTGGAGGTGGAGCCCAGCGACACCATTGAGAACGTGAAAGCTAAGATCCAGGACAAAGAAGGCATTCCCCCTGACCAGCAGAGGCTGATCTTTGCCGGAAAGCAGCTGGAAGATGGCCGCACGCTCTCCGACTACAACATCCAGAAAGAATCCACCCTCCATCTTGTGCTGCGTCTGAGAGGTGGCTTTTAGGTGTTAATGGAACTCTTTATTTGCAAGTTGCCAATAGCATTTGTTTGCACTGTAGCTGTTTAATGTCTTAATATTGTAAGGTAAATAAAAGTTTAAGTAACTGCTGGACTGTTGGTGTAAATGCTAAATAAAAGTTTTTGTTGCACATTACTTTGTAGTTCTCATGAATGATTAAGTATAGTGTTCAATAATACTTTTCTCCCAGTTTTTTTACACTGTAGCTGTTGTAACTTGTAACTGTAAGGTTCTGGGAATGAAATCAAAGGTAACATATACAAGAGAAACCAAGAGAAACCAAAATTAAGTGCAAGTTGACATGGATTCTGCAACTTAATCCTAAATAAACTGATACTAAACATGTCATGAGGTATAACTGCAATGATGGAAGTCACAGCACCAGACTTTTTGCCATGTAAAAACAGGTGTAAGCTTAGAGTACAGAATATGAATCTTGGGGAGTCTAGAGAGCTCAAACTGATTAAACGGTACCTCCTACAACTGCCATGACTTCTGGCAAATGTATTTTAGTCACCTTAGTAGCTTGAGCTTTCTACAATGCTGGCAAGGACAAAACTAGGGGCACAGCTTTTCTTTAGTTTGGTGCCACTCAAATGTTCTGTTTATGCTAGGAAGTTGCTTGTTTTCATCTTTCTTTAAACATGCAGAACTGAGTGATAAGTAACTGCAGAGGCTTTGATCTAAAATGGTATGTAATGTACCATTTAGCATTAAGGGCTTGCACATGCAATTGATAAGGTCCTTTAAAAATAGCTCCAGTAATAGCACACTGCATACGGCAGTTCCCATCCTAAACAAATTTGGCTGCTCTGGTAGGTAATACCTGCTGTGGTTAAAGACCCAACCATTCACAACACACTTCTAGAGCATCTTGACACGGTATTTCAGGGTTCAACAATCCATTTTGGGTCGAGTATGCAATTGTCACAATGGAGGGTCAAACTTTGTGTGTGAAAATCTACTGTAATCTACATCACTAGGACACCACAAGCTCCACCTTATGCCAAATGTAACTTAATACGTACCCACAACTATAAATAAAGGCTGTCTACTTCAATGGTGCTCTGCAGTGTCAGATGGAGGCCCAGGAGGATTCACAATTATGTCAGGTGACCTGCTTGCCTTTTCTATTACACCACACAGGCAAAGGCAGAGTGGTGTCTGCAAACTCCTTGTCCCACCTCTGGTGTCTCGCATGCCATTGGATCATGGGGTGTGCGCACACATGGCTTGGCCTAATTAGGTTCTCCATTGCTGCCCTAGGTGACTGAGGACGTTTCCTTCAGTAGCCAAAGAGGCTAATACTTGCTCAGTGGGAGGTGTACCTGGAGCACAATGCACTTGATAAAAGCAATGCTCAGTAGCAGATTATTAACCAGGTTTATGGATTCCAAAGGCTTTGCTTGTGTAACAAAGGCACACCAATCACAACACATCCATGTGGGTAATAAACGCCGGTAAGCCCCTTCCTCTGGCTGCCATGTAACGAGCTTCTGCCCCTCGTCGGAGTGCCTGCTCTAGTTTGTTTCTCACGTCTTTCCTTCTGGCTTCTGGGATGTTGTTTATTTCATCTTCGCTGATTTCATAACCAAACATCTCAATCTATGGAGGCAACAAGAAACAGAATTTTGGCAGCAGTTGCTGTCGCAAGCGCTCATGTGGCTTGTATAGAAAGTGAAAAGCAGAGGTGTGGCCCTTAGAGCAGCTTTTAACTATCCATATGCTCTGCAGTCCTCAACTTTCTGCCTGTCTGGTGTGTGTCATTGAAAAGCATTCCCCACACCTTAGGGAAGGAAGGCTGTGGGAAGGAGTTAGGCCTGGATGGTACCTGTCAGTGGGGCAAAGAAGGGGGAGTTGGATTAGTACAGGCCAGCTGGGAAGTACAGGCCCCTAATATATAAAAACGTTTTTATATACATGATGTATCGTTACATAAAGTACTGGAATGGCCAGCTGCCCTGCCCAGCCCAGGCGAGCTGTTTAATGGAGGGAGGGAGGTGCTGTGAAATGCCTCCCACCTTTAAGAATGGGTGGGACTTGGGGCAGGGGTGAAGCGTGGAGGGAGGGAGGTTTGGTCCAGTGTGGGGGAAGGGCAAAGGGGTATTTGGGGTTAGCAAGCGGGGTGGCAGCCCCTAGTATGTCATGCTTTTTATCCCTATAAAAATGACAAATCTTGGAATAATTTTCCCCTCTTGGCCCTCCTAATAATGCATTGGGAAGATGGGATAAATCTCTGGAGGTTTAAGGCTTTCAGTGGCTTCTAGCTTCGATGGCTGTGTTCCAGCTATCCTGTCAGACACAGAATGCCAATTGCTGGGGAATCACAAATGTGGAGAGTTACTGTTAGGCCTTGTTCTCAGGCTACTTGGCCACAGGACGCTGGACTGGATGAGCTATCGGCCTGGTCCAGCCGGGCTCTGTTCCTTTCTGTTGCTGGACCATACCATAAAAATATAAAAGACAGACAATGAAAGAATGCTTCAAAATACCTTTGCATTCTTGTAATCTTCATTGTAGTCCCGAATATGCTCCCTTGTGGCTGCATCCAAGCGTTCCCTTTCCTCGGTGCTCGAACCATTAACAACTAAAAGAAACAATTTCTTTCTGGGTAGTGGACACCTAGGTTGCAACCTGTTTAAATCTATGACACACTCACTTAGCTAGTTTGTGGCTCAGGCAGTCACAATGTAACTAGTACGGTCCAGCTTCTCATTCCAATTTCAGATTGAATACAGGGATGGTCTTGGTGGATGAGGCCCCTATGCTTTGTCTCTAAAATCTGCTATTAGGAGATAACGGGTGCAAACTAAGGCCCGGGGGCTGCATCCGGCCCAATCGCCTTCTAAATCTGGCCCGCAGACGGTCTGGGAATCAGCGTGTTTTTACATGAGTAGAATGTGCCCCTTTATTTAAAATGCATCTGTGGGTTATTTGTGGGGCCTCCCTGGTGTCTTTACATGAGTAGAATGTGTCCTTTTATTTAAAATGCATCTCTGGGTCATTTGTGGGGCATAGGAATTTGTTCATTCCCCCCCCCCAAATATAGTCCAGCCCCCACACAAAGTCTGAGGGACAGTGGACCGGCCCCCTGCTGAAAAAGTGTGCTAACCCCTGGCTTAGGCAATACGAGTGCAGCAGGTTTGGGTGGTGACCCTGGATCATGGAGATTACAAACTGGAAACTTTCCTGGCAGATTGATGCTACCTCAGTAGGATCCCAGGCAGCCCACAGACACGTTAGTAGGATGGAAAATGGTAATAGTTTGGATCCACTTCTGCAAAGCATAAACCCTCAAAAAAATCTCCAAGTCTTCCACCAAGGAGTATTGTACTGAAATAGTTGCATCTTTGACCAGAAGGTGTCGCTTATCTTCCATGAAAATGGTGATAGCCTCGCTCTCCAGGCTGCCCAATGCATGCACACTTTGTGTTCCTTGCTTGTGGTCTGGGACAGCACAAGCGCCCCGAGGTCCCTTAAGACGTTTCTGGGTAAAGAGAATGAAGGGAGCATCACGAGTGCTGCTGGGAGGAGGGTCGGGAGCCTCAAGGCAGACAGAGCAAGCGCCAGTGACTAATTCTAGTTTTGTCCCCGTCTTCCTCCCTGCTCAGTTCTACATGGGACAGCACTGAGACTAAGGAGGAGGGAGGGGGCAGGCAAGGCAACCCCCCTGGACTGGTTGTAAGAAGGCAGGGAGGTGGGGGCAACAGGTTGGTGGGGCAGTTCCCCTTTTGCCCCAGTGGATCAGCCTCCAGTGCCTCCGTCCCCAAAGCCTTTAAACTTGACCCTGAATAAAGTTTTAGTAAAACGAGAAAGGGTGAAAAACAACAATCTGCACTGTGTTGTTTGTTATTTTATAAACCGGTATGTGTGTCCCTGCTCCTAGGCACATTTTATCCCCAGGGAATGTGTCGCTTGATAATGTTCAATTTTAGTTGCATTAACTTAAAGTACGTTTACATACAGCTGCGTGTTTTGTCTCAGTCAGTTTTGGCTACTGGCTGTTACTTTTTTATCCTTTCCAGCCTGACTTCTGTTTTTATTTGAGAAAGAGAGGGAGAGGGAGGGAAGGAGCTCATTTTAAAAATACATTGTACAGCGGTACCTTGGGTTACAGACGCTTCAGGTTACAGACTCCGCTAACCCAGAAATAGTACCTCGGATTAAGAACTTTGCTTCAGGATGGGAACAGAAATCGCGGGGCGGCGGCAGGCCCCATTAGCTAAAATGGTACCTCATGTTAAGAACAGTTTCAGGTTAAGAACGGACCTCCATAACGAATTAAGTACTTAACCCAAGGTACCACTGTATTAGCAACATCCAGTGGCAGTGAGTTCCACAGATGCCAGCATTTGCACTACAGACAACTTCTGCTTACTTGAGCTGGTTGCCTCCATCATGTGCTTCAGCAGTTTGAAGGCAATGGTGTCTCCATCGGCGGTTTTGTGTTTCTGACGTGCAGCAACTGTGAAAGGTTGAATTGCAAAAGCCAAATTATGAGATGTGATTAATCTATTTAACCTTACATCCTGCTTTTTTGCCCAGTAGGTTGCCTGTATCCAGAGTTATTTCAATCTCAGATTTGCAAATGTTCATATGCAAAGTTATTGGTCAACAAGAACAAAAATTGCTAGGCCTCTTTGCTTTCGCAGGCCTATGCTGTTCATTTGTGGCACGTTAGCATCTAAAGCACACATCCAATTATCTGTCAGTTTAATAAGCTTCCCTGCCTGCTTGGCTGGAAGTGATTCCTGTTCACCACTGGCAATTAGGGAGAGTGTTGGAATCAAATAGCAAATCTCAAAAACACCTGATTAATACCCGCAAATGCTTTTCACTAACCTGTGTCTGACAGGCAAAAATGAGGCAGGGAAGTCTGAGATGGCGTCTGGGACTGCAGGGAAGGTGCAGGGGCGAGGAGACTGCAAAGCAAAAAACCAGGTGCTCAGTAAGTCTTCAAAGGAAAGCCCTTTTACAAATCCCTTTGCCCATTTGTGAAGGGGAGGCACCAGTTCTCAGATGCAAGGGAAGCAGGCCTGTTGCCAAAGTCAACAGAATTATGCTGCCCCCTCCCTTTGGGATCACTGTGGGCACATTCTGACTTTATGTTTCTAAGTTGCGGAATGTACCTTTGCATGCCTGGACAGAACCTTACCTTCCAGCGGAATAGGTGTCAGGTGAAGGCTGCAAGAAAAATATGGAAGGACAGTATTAAAATCTGCGTAAGCGACAGGATCTCTTGGGGCACCCAAGTTTGTTTTAAGACCCAAGGCATGGGAGTTCAAATGCAGAAATCCAAAATGCTGAAGTCTAGGATGCCGGAACACAGACAGGCTTGCTAGCCAGAGCCTGACTTGATCATTTGCCATGGCAGGGACAGTGAGCAAGATTGTCAAAAGAGATGCATGTTTTCCAGTATAGAAACACCCAGCTCCAGGCTATTGGGCAAACCATCTCCATCACAGTGGACTGCCTCGCTTCCATCTACAAGTTCCCTGGGCATTAGTATTTAGCAGTGGGCGAGCTCATTAAAACAAAACTACATTTTGAAAAATAAAATATTACCATCTTCCTGTCCACAGCAAGTCTGTGCATTTCAGCCTGCAGCCTGCTTATCTGCTCCTCTGCCTTCATCTGCATTTCATAGCGGACCTGTCTCTCCTGAAAGGTGCCAAATTGTAGTTGTTAAAACTTTGGAGGTGGGGGGAGAGAGATTTCATACTTCCTGAGTGCTCGAATGGAGGCTGAATTGGTACTGTCGTACATTGACTCTGCTTCACTTTCCTGCCTCCTGAGAGCCCAAATGCAGGCTAAAGTGGTAATAATAATAATAATAATAATAATAATAATAATAATAATAATAATAATAATAATAATAATAATAATAATTTATTATTGATACCCTGCCCATCTGGCTGGGTTTCCCCAGCCACTCTGGGCAGCTTCCGACAGAATATTAAAATGCAATAACCTATTAAACATTAAAAGCTTCCCTAAACAGGGCTGCCTTCAGATGTTTTCTAAAAGTCTGGTCATTGTTTTTCTCTTTGACATCTGGTGGGAGGGCGTTCCACAGGGTGGGTGCCACTACCAAGAAGGCCCTCTGCCTGGTTCCCTGTAGCTTCACTTCTCGCAGTGAGGGAACTGCCAGAAGGCCCTTGGCGCTGGACCTCAGTGTCCAGGCAGAACAATGGGGGTGGAGACGCCCCTTCTGGTATACTGGACAGAGGCCGTTTAGGGCTTTCAAGGTCAGCACCAACACTTTGAATTGCTCGGAAACATACTGGGAGCCAGTGTAGGTCTTTCATATGGTGTTATATGGTTTCGGCGGCCGCTCCCAGTCACCAGTCTAGCAGTCTAGTGGTACAGTCCTATTCTGCCTCTAGGCCAAGTGTCCCTAGCTCTCCTCATTCTTCAACATCCAAATGCAGGGCAAAGTAGTACAGTCCTCCAACTCCCCAGACTCTAGGCCTGGTTGTCTCTTCCTCTCAAGTGCAGCCAGTGCCATAGCTAGCCGCTCAGGTGCCTGGAGTGAGGTGAGCCAGGGCAGGGCACACTGCAAGGAACCTGGAGTCTGCTCAGCCCACCCGCCTCCCCCTCAACCACCCTCCAGCTGAAGGGGAGGTGGCAAGTAGACGCAAGCCCAGGTGCCTGCAGGTGCCTGAGCCACAGTGACACTTCCAGGAGAGACTCGTGGCTCGGGTGCGCTGTAGCACACACCCTGCGGTAAGTGGCTGCCCAGTGCACCTGTTGTAAACAAAATCTGCCCTTTTCCCCTTATGGGGTATCCAAGAGCCCGTATAGAGTCCTTACGTGGGTTCCCTATTGGTAGGAGAAAATAACAGAGGCCAACCAGAGAATATTGAGAAGCAAAGCAGCTAGTAAGCCTGATCTTTATTAAAACTGTTGCAACAGGGTTTTCCTGTCACACGCAGGAGGATGGAGGAGGACCCAGAACAAAGGTGTGCCTGCCCTAATTTACATTTTAATTCCCTGCCCTGGAGCTCAAGACCACTCCTCCATACATCATACATACATCACGGAAGGGGTGCAACTGAAGACCATCCTTCACAAACATCATACCTACATCACAGAAATTTGAATGCTGTTGTTTTTCCTGTCTGCCAGGTTATCTGATAATGCCTTATCTGATTGCCTTTCCTGGTAGTCTGGCCATTACTTTGAGATGGTGATTTCCCAATTCCTGAGACAATGGGAAGGTTCCCTCATCCCTTCCCTCCTTGCAGAGAAAACATTTGGTCAGTTTGGGAGTCAAAATGGTTTCAGGACGGTCTTCCTGTGCTGCTCCAGATATGTGGTCCACATATCTATGTTTGTGCTTGGTTGGTACATTTATGAACATTTATTATATATATATATATACACATTTTTTATTACACTCCCCTGCCTCCCAGCTATGCTAGTGAGCGCAGCTATTAAATCTCAAATGGTACAGCTCAGCTTAATCTGCACAATGCAATTATGCTTTTTTATGCAGAATCGTGTTTCATTATGTGAGGCTGTGCCCTTAATAGACCCAATTTACAGATGGGGAACTGAGAGGACAAGAGAGAGTAATGAACAGAGTGGCCCACCCGGGGTGTCCACGGTTAAGCCAGTGGGGTTGGCACACCCCCTTTCTCCAGGACACCCCAACCGTCTATGTAAATTGTTTGTGTTTCTCTTAATCTTTATTCCACGGTTGGAAGGAAATACCTGGGACAGCTGATCTTCCAAATGGACCTTCTGCATTTCAAATTTTCTCTTATTCTCCTCTAAAAGCTGCAGGAATCTCATCTCTTGTTGCCTGCAAGTTCATTAAAAAAAAATGTTGCAGAGAAACTCCCAGGAAATTAAATCAGATATGGGTGCCCAATTTCTCCTGACCCTTACTCTGTAGGGTACTCAGTGGAATGGTTAAAACAGCCGGGAGCAGAGTCTTAGCAGAGTACCACCTCTCCTCTCAGCTCAATTTTTCTGGCACATTTGGAAATCTAAGAAACACCACAAGATACCCATTTCACAGAAATGAAAAACTGGGGTGCTCTGAGCTCCCTGCCACCCCCCAAGCACTTATATGCATTTTCAAACAAATAAAAGATGGATAGAAATGCAGTCCATCCCACAAAGCAACAACGGGCAACATCTCAACCAAGGAATGCCCCCCCCATAATTAAAAAAGCAACCCCTCGATTTAAAAATAAGAATGGGGCAAGAGTATTTGGGGTGCTGACTGATGCCATGGTGGGGACTCTTATTAGCTGAGAATGTGGGTAACTGTAAATGCTGCTGACAGGAAAAGCCTTACCTCTTCTGTTCTTCCGCTCTGAACCTTTGAAGTCTCTGTTCCTGTTCTGCCCTCTCAAGGCGTTGCTCTTCCAACAACTGGCGCTCCTCTCTGAAAATCAGGACATGCCCTGTTTGCTGTACATATTCTCCCTCCCCGTCTTTCCGTGCCCTCAGACGAGCCTCAGAAATGCCTCCGATGCTCCGAAGGAGTGGGAGAGGACCAGAATGACACGAGCGCGCATTCATACGTTTCCGAGCACAATTCAAAGTGCTGGTGCTGACCTTTAAAGCCCTAAATGGCCTCGGTCCAGTATACCTGAAGGAGCGTCTCCACCCTCATCATTCAGCCCAGACACTGAGGTCCAGCACTGTGGGCCTTCTGGCAGTTCCCTCGTTGAGAGAAGCCAAGTAACAGGGAACCAGGCAGAGGGCCTTCTCGGTAGTGGCACCCACCCTGTGGAACGCCCTCCCACCAGATGTCAAAGAGAAAAACAACAACCAGACTTTTAGAAGACATCTGAAGGCAGCCCTGTTCAGGGAAGCTTTTAATGTTTAATAGACTATTGTATTTTAATATTCTGTTGAAAGCAGCCCAGAGTGGCTGGGGAAGCCCAGCCAGATGGGCAGGGTATAAATAAATTATTATTATTATTATTATTATTGTTGTTGTTGTTGTTGTTGTTGTTGTTGTTGTTGTTGTTGTTGTTGTTGTTGTCAAAAAAGGATTAAAAAGCATTAGGTACGTTCTGGGTCCTTGCCAGGGCTGGTCAGCTCTACAGTTAGGCAAAGTGAGGCAAAATGACAAGATCCCAGTCCTCATGGTTCTGAACTGTGGGCTGATTTAAATAGGAACAGAGCCAGACCCTTGGTCAATTTAGCTCAGTATTATCTACACTGACTGGAAGCAGCTCTCCAGGGGTTCTGGCAGGGGACCGTTCCAGCCCCACCTGGAGGTGCTGAGGATACTGAGCCCCACCCCCTTCCCTTGTGCCTTTCATGGGGCCATGGAGCAAGAGGACGCCCCTTAAGCACCTTGCTTGCCTCCTGTCTTCTGGCCTTGTCCTTGGAGGTGGTACCGCTTGGAAACCTCTGTAGCGCCACGGAGGAAAAGCTCAAAGTGGGAGGGAAAGAGAAATAATGAATGTTAATCGGCTACATAGCTGTCAACTTACAGATTTGAAAATAAGGGACCAGAAGCCTCAAAAATAAGGGATCAGCAGCCAAAATAAGGGATTTTCCAAGCACAGGTATGTTCAACTTCTGAGCCCCTCCGAGCCAAAGGCAGAAAGCCCAGCCAGCAGCCAAACGAAGCCTCAAGCGGTGGTTCCCACAGCGCAGCAACCCGGCAATGGGGATGCAGCAAGGAAAACCACCGTCACCTCTCTGCTGGGAAGCGCTGAGCAAAGGCGAGTCCCCAGGCAACGCGGCCGATTTGATCAGCACAAGGCATGCAAGCTCCACCCCCCAGTCGTTCTTAGACTCCTTATTGGGTGAGCAACGCAGCCAAGCAACACAGTTGGAGCCTCCCTCCTCCCAGGACGGCATGGAGGGAGGGAGAGGAGCTGCTTCCTTTTAAACCCGGGAAATTTAAGGGACATCATCAATAAGGGACAGCAGCGGGACATGGTGCTGGTATAAGGGACTTTCCTGCCAAATAAGGGACGGTTGACAGCTATGATCGGCTATCCTGCCCCATACCTTTGAATGACACATGGAATGACAGGCACAAAAGCTGATAAAATTCCAGCATGTTTTGAAAATGTACCTGTGCACTCTGGAAGCTCTCTCCCCTCTTCTCCCCCGCCCCACCACTAGAGTTTCATGCCAGGTGTCCTCGAGATGATTATCAGATGAATTTTATGCATCTCGCCCCCTTTACCCCATTCCGGCAGATGCACACCTCAAGAGATTGGGCATTGCTGAGAATAATGCATGCCTCCCACAAGTGCCCAAGCTTAGCAGGTCCTAGAAACCAAACTTGTTAGTGTTGCAGCGCCAGCCTTCTGGAATCAGTAAGGGTAAAGGGGACCCCTGACCATTAAGTCCAGTTGTGGCCGACTCTGGGGTTGCGGCGCTCATCTCGCTTTACTGGCCGAGGGAGCCAGCGTACAGCTTCCAGGTTATGTGGCCAGCATGACTAAGCCGCTTCTGGCGAACCAGAGCAGCGCACAGAAACGCCGTTTACCTTCCCGCCGGAGAGGTACCTATTTATCTACTTGCACTTTGACGTGCTTTCGAACTGCTAGGTGGGCAGGAGCTGGGACCGAGCAACGGGAGCTCACCCCGTCGCAGGGATTCGTAGCCCATATTAGAGTGTTGTGATGTTTTGGCCCCTGCCAAAGGCATTTTAGTTTAAAAGCGCTTTCCCTGGAGTGACCCAGTCATTTTATGAAATATTAATTGCGCGTCTGCAGAAATGGCTTGATTGGAGCTTGGGGTGGGGGGAAGAGAGAATTTGATTTATTTATTAACAAAACCTATATACTGCTTCATGGTAAATGATACCTCCAAGCTGTTTTGCAAACAATAGTTGCTGAGATGGTTTTATTTTTTTTTAGAGAGAGCATGTGTGCTTTTAATTCTTCCTTCTTACCTTGTATACTGCTTCAGTGGCTTGCTGCTATGATGGAACAATTATCATTTTACTGCGGTTTTATATTTTTAACTTTGGCTCTGCCTGGAGACAGAACGTAATAGGCAGTATGTAAAATACTGTGATAGGCTTGGGGGATCATTCTGGATGATACAAAGGGGTGCCTTCTGCTCCAGTCCAAGCCTTTGGGTCTGCTCTCTTGGCTGCTTTGCATACTTTTTATTATGGCTATTATTTGGCTGCTTTTTTAAAAAAAAAAACTTAATTGTTTTGTATTTTAAAAATCTTGCTTTGCAATTTGTTGCCTTACACCTGCTGGGGGACAAAGGTGGGGAAAATGTATTTGTTCAGGCTGGCTGCAAAAAAAGATTAGGAAGAGAAAGTTAGATCATATTGCTATAAATTGTTTTGGGAACTCAGACTTTTAATCTCAAGTCAGCTGATGGCACATCTGATTTTTCTCTCCTATATCATTAACGTTTGCTGTATTACTGCTGTGTTTGTATTTTGGTATTTGTAATGTACCGTATTTTTTGCTCTCTAAGACTCACTTTTTCCCTCCTAAAAAGTAAGGGGAAATGTGTGTGCGTCTTATGGAGCGAAGGGAGGATGCACAGCTATCGCAGAAGCCAGAACAGCAAGAGGGATTGCTGCTTTCACTGCGCAGAGATCCCTCTTGATGTTCTGGCTTCTGAGATTCAGAATATTTTTTTTCTTGTTTTCCTCCTCCAAAAACTAGGTGCGTCTTGTGGTCTGGTGCGTCTTATAGAGCGAAAAATACGGGTAATTGTCTTGGCCTTTGGCTAGCACAATATACTTATTGATTGATATTTATTTTTCTTCTATTAACTGTTATTGGTTTCTTTCTTTCTTTCTTTCTTTCTTTCTTTCTTTCTTTCTTTCTTTCTTTCTTTCGTATATTGTGTTCTCATTTTCTATTTTTATGTTGCAAACTGCCCTGTGATTCTCAGATCAAGGGCGGTATACAAACTGAATAAATAAAAATAATAAATTGATTGATTGACAGGTAAATGTTATGAGGCTGAGAGGAAGGAGTGAGCCTGAGCAGAAGACGCCCGTCAAGGCCTTACTTTGGGTAGGGTCATGGATCGGGGCGGGTTCCTTGTTTCCTCCAAGCAACTGGCTGTACAAATCTTCAAAGAAGTGTTTCCCCATCATGTCTTGGAACTCTTGCACAAGCAGAGACGGTCCCCAGGTTTTCAGTGTTGCTTCCAATTCCACTGGCTGCAGTAAAAGGCAGGGATGGTGGGTGGGTAAAACTGCTCAATGGTGGCTGGTGGGGCACCCAAGGGTGTCCTCAAAGGTAGGGACAACAAACATCCTCTTAGAAACAAAAGGGCTTTTGCCCCCCCCCAAAAAAGCAGCAGCCATTAAAACAATTTTAAAAACAAAGCCACACAAAAGCAAAAATTTAAATCCATGGAGTTTAGAAGAAACTTTCTAAACAACAGATAATACAATCATATTGGAAGTCAAACGGAATCCATTCCAGAAGTCCATTCAACTTCCAAAGTGTTCGAAAACCAAAGCACGGCTTCTGATTGGCTGCAGGAAGCTCCTCCAGCCAATCGGAAGCCGCGGAAGCCCCATCGGACATTCAGCTTTCAAAAGAATGTTCGAAAACTGGAACAGTCACTTCCGGGTTTTGATCGTTCGGGAGCCAAAACGTCCGAGAACTAGGCTGTTCGAAAACCAAGGTATGATTGTACATGCAAAGATGGCAAAGTAAGAAAGTCATAGGAATGTTAGAATTTCTGGAGGGTGGTGACATGAGAACAGAACCTTTTCAGTGGTGGCTCCCTGCTTGTAGAATGTTCTACCCAGGAAGGCATTTGGGGTTCCAAACAAGAGTTGTTCCCAGCTATACCTGGAGATATCAGGGAATGAACTGGAATCTTCTGCATGACGGCAATTACTCTTCCCCTGAGCTACAGTTTTCCCCCACATACAGATGAACAGATCTCCACTAGAACAACATTCCATAATCTTAGGATGTAGCCCCATTCGCCCCTGATTCTTGTCCATACCAATTCTATATTATTCCAGCATTTAATGCAATACCGTACTTGTTGAAGTTACACGTATAATGTACATAAAACGTGGTATTTAAATGCATTGTATTTAAAATGCTGCAAAGGGAAGTTTACAGTGGCCAAGAAGTTTCACTCTGGCAAAAGCGTCAGAGAAGGCTGGCATCTTTCCATTTCAATGAGCTAAACTACCTTATATTGGAATTGGAAACTTGAGAAGCCAGTGTGTGCTCATTGGTGACGGCTAGTAGCAGCAGTTGCAGAGAAATTCTGCAGTGATGAACAAGCTTAGGATCTCCCCCTGGGACCAGAGAGAGGACAGTTTACTGAACAGCATGAAGGACTGAACCCCATTGCTTGGTTATTTTGTAACGTTTATCTTATTAAATCTGTTCTTCAGCAAAGCTTTGAAACTCAGTTCTTGCGGAGGAGAGAATTCACTTCTGCACAAGGTCCCCATCAGGGGTTCTGCTGGACAACTCTAACAATGCTTTGTAAAACAGCTGTGGCATTACGGTCTTCAAATAAAAACATCCTGAAGGTCCCAGGCCACAGAGAGGTTAGGCTGGCCTCAACTAGAGCCAGGGCCTTCTCGGCTGCGGCTCCAATCTGGTGGAACGCTCTGTCACAAGAGACTAGGGCCCTGCGGGACTTGACATCTTTCAGCAGGGCCTGCAAGACAGAGCTGTTCCACCAGGCCTTTGGTCAGGGCACAGCCTGACTCCCTCCTTTGGCAATCTGCACAGAATTTTTGCTTAATGGTTGCCATCAATTTGATTTTAATTAATTTTTATAATGAAATGTTTTTAGAATGTCGCATTATTTTATTGTTGTTAGCCGCCCTGAGCCTGGCTTCGGCTGGGGAGGGCGGGATATAAATAAAAGTTATTATTATTATTATTATTATTATTATTATTATTATTATTATTATATTAGATTTCATCAGGCTGCACATACGGATTGACACGTGAGTAGCCGGCCACGGAGCAGAAGGACAAAAATGGTGGTGAACACAGGGAGACAGTTGTATGACGGCTGCTGCAATCCCAGGATAATCTGGTCCCAGATGTACAACAGAGTATCCATGTTTAAGTAGCCTGCAAATAAAGGAAAAGTTGAAGAACATCTCACCAGCTTCCCTGAGGCATAACGAACACTTTGGAAGGTCTGTGGCTCATGGTGGAGCATCTACCTTGTATGCAGTGTTGAATGGTTTCTTTAAATTTTAGGTTTCATTATTGTTTCACAAGATGTGTATGTCTTTAAGGTCCAGAGCAAATAACATGACCTAGTTTTACAGCTGTGAATCAGTATAGCAGGTGCTGTTAAGTTATGTTAATTAAGCTGTTGGGTATAGTATATAAAGAGCAGCATGTAGCTCTCTCAGTACAGTGGTACCTCGGGTTACATACGCTTCAGGTTACAGACTCTGCTAACCCAGAAATAGTATCTTGGGTTAAGAACTTTGCTTCAAGATGAGAACAGAAATTGTGCTCCGGCGACGTGGCGGCAGCTGGAGGCCCCATTAGCTAAAGTGGTGCTTCAGGTTAAGAACAGTTTCAGGTTAAGAACGGACCTCCGGAACGAATTAAGTACTTAACCTGAGGTACCACTGTACCCTGGTGGATGGGTTACACTTATTGATATAATGAAATTTAGTGTAAAAGGAGTTTTTGTTTTTGTTATTTGTTATTAAACCAAGCAAAAGTTTCTTTTGTGTTTCTTGAATGTGTGGTCTCCCCAGCACGCCTTCTGCAGCCCAACGAATCTGCGAAATAACCAACATGCAGAAGGTCCCAAATTCAACCCCTGGCATCTCAAGGTAGGACTGAGAATGTCTTCCTTCTGCACACCTGGCGAGCTGCTGCCAGTCAGTGCAGACATTACTGAGCTAGATTGCCTGGCAGTAGCTTCCTAAGTCTCTCTCTCTCTCTCTCTCTCTCTCTCTCTCTCTCTCTCTCTCTCTAACATACAGGTGTACTATGAGGGGTTTTGCTGTGGTGAGGAACGACAGAATCAAAATACAAAAGAAGAGCTCTGCTGGACCAGCCCATCCTCACGGTGTCCAAGAAGATGCCCCAGTAGGAAATCTCCAATCAGGGCCCCAAACACAAGAGCAACTCTCCCTCCTGGGGTTTCCAGAAACTGGTATTCAGAAGCATGGCTGCCTTTGATTGAGGAGGAAGCACAGAGCCTTGTGACTAGTACAGTAGCTATTGACAGCCTTATCCTGTTCCGTGAACTGCCTGGTCCTCTTTTAAAGCCACCCAAGCTGGTGGCCATCACTATGCTTTGCAGGTCATCAACTCCTGGCAAATAGAAGGGGAAGAAATGGAGGCAGTGAGAGATTTTACTTTCTTGGGCTCCATGATCACTGCAGATGGTGACAGCAGCCACGAAATTAAAAGACGCCTGCTTCTTGGGAGAAGGGCAATGACAGGCCTAGACAGCATCTTGAGAAGTAGAGACGTCACCTTGCCAACAAAGGTCCATATACGTAGTTAAAGCCATGGTTTTCCCAGTAGTGTGTATGGAAGTGAGAGCTGGACCATAAAGAAGGCTGATCGCCGAAGAATGGATGCTTTTGAATTATGGTGCTGGAGAAGACTCTGGAGAGTCCCATGGACTGCAAGAAGATCAAACACATCCATTCTTAAGGAAATCAGCCCTGAGTGCTCACTGGAAGGGCAGATCCTGAAGCTGAGGCTCCAATACTTTGGCCACCTCATGAGAAGAGAAGACTCCCTGGAAAAGACCCTGATGTTGGGAAAGATGGAGGGCACAAGGAGAAGGGGACGACAGAGGATGAGATGGTTGGACTTTGTTCTCGAAGCTACCAGCATGAGTTTGACCAAACTGCGGGTGGCAGTGGAAGACAGGAGTGCCTGGTGTGCTCTGGTCCAGGGGGTCATGAAGAGTGGGACATGACTGGATGATTAAACAACAACAAGTTTAAGAATGGGACGTGTGAAGTGGTACACCTTTTTGGCGGTCCTGAATCTCCCAATTCCCAGTCTCAGCTCTAGGTTCTATTTTTATTTTATTTTTTGGATCATTTTTTTTTTTGGTTATGCCAAGAAGTGAATCTCACCAGCAAGCAGAGTGTCAATAGCTGGCTGGATCATGCGGCTCAGCCCCTTGAGTAAGGTGTCTCTGGGGTCTTCCTCTGGAAAACAGCAAAGATGTGGGATTCTACAAGTATATGATGATGATTATTTATTTACAGCACTTACATCCCGCTTTGTAGTCCCAAGAGGCTCTCAAAGCAGCTTACGGAACAATTCTCAATATCAAATCCAAGTTTGGTGGTGCCACTTTCAATTGTCATTGCACAAAACAAATGATATACCGTGAAAATCCCTGAAACGAGAAGTAATTGACTAGAAATATTATCTTGTGGAAATAAACTAAATAATAAAAATCAAAAAGTTTAAGGGAAAAAATTAGAAAAACCTAAAATTGAACAAAGCCTTAATCAAAAAGGCTTAATCAAACCATCAAACCATCTGAAATCTGTTGCCTTATGAATTTTTTTTGAATTTTTCGTCATTTAAGGTTTATGATTTTTCTATTTCCTTCTGAGGAAACTGAATAGTTCAGTGAAACGAGGTTTGTAGCTGGCAACCCCTTAAGGCTTTGTTCAATTTTAGGTTTTTCTATTTTTTCCCTTAAACTTTTTGATTTTTATTATTTACCGGTAGTTTATTTCCACAAGATAATATTTCTAGTCGATTACTTCTCGTTTCAGGGATTTTCATGGTATTTCATTTCTTTTGTTTAATTTCTCAGTTCCGTGCCTGTCTTTTTTCTACTACTTTCAATTGTCATGGCTTCCCCCCCAAATGACGCTGGGAACTGTAGTTCGTCAAGGGTGATGAGAGTTGCTAGGAAACTTGTATTCCACACCCAGAGCTACAATTCCCAGAGTGGTTTAGCCATCAATCTCTCTTCCCAGAGATCTGTCTGAATTGTAGCCCATCTCTTCTATAGAAGTTGGATCTGAAGGCATTCACATCAGCAGGAACATCATGAAAGTAGGACTTTTCCCTCTAATCCCAAATCTTTGTTTAGGGTAAATTGGCCAAGAGACGTTAAGCTTGCTTATACAGAACTGGTGGACCTTTTATTTTCAGTGTTTGAAGGTGAGTGATGTTACTTAGGCATCTAAGAAACCACCATCCACACTCAAGGGAGGAGTAAGACAGCTCAGGGAAACCCCAAAATTTGCAGGTGAAAAGCAAAAATAGAGGGGGAACACTAAGAAGGTGAGGACTCCAAGACTTGACAGTCAACATGCTCAGTAGCCACTGAGGATGAAATGGAGTACCTTGCGCAGGGGCCATGCACCCAAAGTTTAGGAAGAGTGACAGGCTTACTGAGGTGACAGGATTACTGAGGTGGAGCCCCAAAGCAGACTTACCTGGTTGTGCATAAACGCTCTCCAGGAACCTTGCCAGATCTCTGTCTGTCTGCTCCAGCAGGGAGGCAACTTCTTCCACTACGCTGACCCGGGAAGCATCCTAGACAGAAATTTGCCACAAATAGTAAATCAAGAGAGTCTTACTTAAAGTCTAGTGGTGCCATTTGGATTCTGGATTAGCTGTTCTAAATGAAATTTAATTTAATAGAACAGGCTTCCTAATCTGCTGCCCTCCAGATGTTTGCGGGGAGGGGGAGACCTTGGTTGATGGCCAAGGCCGCTGGAATCCTATGCACAGCTCAGCAGGAATTGGGGTGTCCTATAACCCTATATAAAGGATGTGGGTGGCGCTGTGGGTTAAACCACAGAGCCTAGGGCTTACCGATCAGAAGGTCGGCGGTTCAAATCCCCGCAACGGGGTGAGCTCCCGTTGTTCGGTCCCTGCTCCTGCCAACCTAGCAGTTCAAAAGCATGTCAAAGTTCAAGTAGATAAATAGGTATGGCTCCGGCGGGAAGGTAAACAGCGTTTCTGTGCCCTGCTCTGGTTTGCCAGAAGTGGCTTCGTCATGCTGGCCACATGACCTGGAAGCTGTACGCTGGCTCCCTCAGCCAATAAAGCGAGATGAGTGCCGTAACCCCAGAATTGGCCACGACTGGACCTAATGGTCAGGGGTCCCTTTACCTTTACCTATAACCCTATATGAATGGGTGGAGAGGTGGAGATACCTGGTTGGAGACGGAGAGTCTAACAAGTTGAGGATGCAGCTTCTTGAGAGACATAAATTCTTCAACTAGGAGGGCAGAAACAGACTCCACAGAGCTGGTGGAAGAGCCCAAATCCAGAATAACTTGCAAGAGAGGCACGGGCAGGAAATAATCTTGGTCTCGCAGAGGTGTGGAGGTGCCCTGAAGCTTGTGGTAATAAGAAAGCACATTCCTCAGGCACTGTGTGGCAACTAAGGAGAGGTTTTTGGAAAAGTAGTGCATAGTTAATATACGGAACTCATTGCCACAGCATGACCATCAACCTAGATACAGTGGTGCCTCGCAAGACGAAATTAATTCGTTCCGCGAGTTTTGTCGTCTTGCGATTTTTTTCGTCTTGCGAAGCACGGTGTCGGGAAAGTTTTGGAAAAGCTTCAAAAATCACCAAAGTCTTTAAAAACCTCAAAAAAGGCTTCCCCACCGCGTTCTATGAGTTGCTCCTCGAAGTCAAGTCGCAACTGTATTAACGGTGTTAAGAAAAAGGAAACAAACTTGCAAGACGTTTCCGTCTTGCGAAGCAAGCCCATAGGGAAAATCGTCTTGCGAAGCAGCTCAAAAAACAAAAAACCCTTTCGTCTAGCGAGTTTTTTGTCTTGCGAGGCATTCGTCTTGCGAGGTACCACTGTAGTTTTAAGAAGGCTAGGCAAATTCATGGAGGCAAAGGCTATTTGCCACGATGGCTATGGTTGGCCTCCACAATCGGAGGCAGTGATAATTCTGAATACCAGTAGCTGGAAACCACAGGGCAGGAGAGCGAAGGCTCTTGTGCTTGGGACTTGCTTGAGGGTTCTCTTTGGGGCATCTGGTTGGCCACTGTGAGAACAGGATGCTGGACTAGGTAGGCCATTGGTCAGATTCAGCTGGCTGTTCTCATTGAACCTCTTCTCAGCACTGACCCTGAAATGCAACCTGGAAGGAAAGCCCAACCCTTGAATCTCTTCATCACCACATTCTTTTTTCCCCCTGGTTGTGACAACAACACACACAGACACACTCATGCTCATGTGAAGTTGGACTTGGACAGTCTTCCACATCTGTGAGGACTAGATGCTTGCAACGGATCCCCAATATGTATCTGCGTATAATGGATACATGAAGCCACACTGAGATGTTGCTTCTGCTAACTGGAAATGCGCCTCCCAGGGAAAGCAAAGAAATAGACCACCCTTTCTGCCTCAAGGGCTTTGGGCTGATGCCCCATGGTCTTGTATGTGGTCTCTACTGGCTTCCTCCTTTCATCCCAACTTAGGCATGTGGGAAGGAACACTTGCTTTTCTCAAAAACTGGCATCTGCATGGCCACTGTGAGAACAGGATACATGGGACACTGGTCTGATCCAGAAGGACTCATTTATATCCTTCTGGGCTAAATAAGTCACTGTCAGTTCCTCGTTCTTCCAATCTTAGGTTCAGTTCTCCACATTGCTACATCAGCTAGTTAGAGAGACAGTGTGGTGTAGTGGTTAAGAGCCTTAGATTCGTAATCTGGGGAACCGGGTTCGTGTCTCCGCTTCTCCACCTGCAGCTGCTGGGTGACCTTGGGCCAGTCACACTTCTCTGAAGTCTCTCAGCCCCACTCACCTCACAGAGTGTTTGTTGTGGGGGAGGAAGGGAAAGGAGCATGTTAGCCCCTTTGAGACTCCTTCGGGTAGTGATAAAGCGGGGTATCAAATCCAAACTCCTCCTAGTTGTGGAGGTAACGCTCCGCTTTGCGAAGGCAAGCCTCACACCAGACGTGCAACAGTATGTCCAGGAGTGTTACACCTGCTTTCCCCGACCTTCTTGGCTAGAAAAACAGGGGTTTCCCCCTGACTTTTTGTCCTCTCACAATTTGTTTGTTAGACATATAGCTTGGCTGGAGCATGACCAGGGACGCAGATGTAATCAAGTATCGGGGGGGAACTTTGAGGGAAACACCTGCTGAAACGTGTATTTGCTAATGTTGACAATGTGCTTAGATGGAAATACGTTAAGTTCAGGGTGGTTTCACGACTGTTTCCAATTGTTGACTTCTGCTAATAAAAGGAGCCTCGGCAGAGCTAGCCGGCAGCTTGCTTGGAGCGTGCTTGCCAGCATGGTTCTGCACAGCTCACCTGCATCCAACCTCCTGTCGTCTCCATTATTCCTACAGTTAGTTAGTTGTTTTAAAACCTCATTAAAATTACCCAGTGTTGTAGAGTGAATTTCTCTTAAACATTTCCTAACACACACCTTTTTCTTCTTCCAAACTAAGTTCCCTTAATACAATGCGGCTTTGTATGGTATTTTTTGCCAATTCATATACATTTATATGCGCACTTCACCCCACTATATGCATCTTTATACACATTACTCCTCTGCATTGTGAAGTTCCAGCTTCAGAGGCTGGTTCATGCATTGTTTCAGAAAGTGCAAATCTGGTAAATTCACATTTAAATGCAAACTGAATTGAGTCCGCCTCCCCCCATCCCACCTCCAGCCTTCCTTAATACTTTTGTGTGACTCCTGTGGTGGTTTCTTCTTACGCTTGTGGTTTTTTAAGGACTGGAACGTCGGCTCCGAATCCAGCAGGGCTTGGCACCTCAGAGAGATCTCTCTGTCCTTCCGGGAAGTGGCTCTGTTTGCTGCCAAATGGGAGAGATAACCTAACCTTGCTGGGAATGAGAAAAGGAACAGAAGAAAAGCAATGTTTGATGCATTTCATTTCATTTTCACTAAACTGGCCACCAAATAAAGAGATCCAATCGTGACAGTATGGTGTTGTATGCCCTCATATATTTATGGTGGGGATGTGATAAGCTTACTGGGATTTGGCAAAGCAATTTTGATGTCATTTCTAATATTACCAGTTAGTCATTGAACCCAAATCCTGCTCTGGCCCATCTGTCACTAGATGGCAATACATAAGGACCACACTGCCATGCTGCTTTCTGCTTCCCACTTAGAGATCACCTCCCATTGGAAAGACCCCAAAGGTCCATCTCTGATGGGATGGCAAGGGGGAAGTTTGGGACCTGGCTCTTTCTGAGCATCTAACACAAGACAGGAGGGGTGTCAGGGGCCAAAGTAAAAGCCATCATTCTGACCAGGAATGGTTCCCATTTATCAGATATGCAAACAGAAGCAATGTTATTGCCAGACCTTTGCTAACCACAAAGGCCAAGTTAGTTGTCCAAATACTTGTTTACCAGGTAGAGGGTGGGTTTTAGTTCCAAATAACAAACCACTGTTTGCACCTCCAAAAGGAGAAGAAAGCAACCCATTTCACAGAAGGGAAAACTGAGTAAAACAAACTGGTGGTGGCCCAAGCCATCTGGAGGTCTTGCCTTCGCTGTTTGCCTGCCTGTTTTAGAGAACTGATACGTGTCATACCCTTTGTGTTAGAGAGGTAAATCTTCCAGGTGAGATGACGCAAATCGGCAGGTAAGGGCTGGTTAAAAAGAGAACAAAGCCTCCCTCGCAGCTCCGGCCGTTCCTCCAGCAAGGTCATCTGAAAGGAAGGAGTTGGCTCATTGAACGTGGCTGAATTAAGGCTCCTTTTTCTACAATAGCTGAAACACCGGATACCATAGCAAAGTTGCTTAGAGCAAATGTTTTGCTCACAGAAGGCTCCAGGTTCAATCCCTGGCCAGGTAGGGCTGGGAAAGCCTCGTCTGAAGCACTGGAGAGCTGCTGCCAGTCAGTGTAGGGAATACTGAGCTAGATGGACCAACGATCTGACTGATGGGTCCTTTAGGGGCATTTCCTTGCCAACCTCAGTCTATCCTCACTTGCCCTGTCCTCTTGCTTCCATCAGTCCCAGAGGCTGACCCTGCCTGTCCTTTTCCTCTTCCTCCTAAGTATCATTGTTGTGCCTTGCAGAAGTCAGCAGGAAGAAGGACAAAACGGGAATTAGTTTGTCTCCTGTCATTGGCTCTGGCGCCACCTACTGTTGGGCTCCACACCTTCCACCCTACCAGCCCTAGTGGGTGTCAGCCCCACACTGCCCCAACTTAGAATACAAAGCAGCAAAACTACGTACCACTCCATCCTTGAGGTGATTGAGCAGCAGGGCTGGCTTATTTTTCACCCGCCGGTCTCCATCCTGAATCTCCTGGGCGATCTGGCAATAAATCTGTTCCTCTAAGCAGCCACTAACCTGCGACATCAGGGCCTTATAAGCATCACCTGAAAGAATATCAAAGAACGAGTGGATTATTTCACAACATTTTCTTAACTTTTCAAGGAGGGGAAAAGTGGAGGGGCAGATCCATTTCTAGGGACAGGGAAGAAATTTGGTTTGGTTGACATTTTGGTTCTAACACACCTGATTTGCACCTTGTGGAAATAGTATAGGAAACGAAAGCAGCCATCTTTCAAAATTCACACTTCTCCAAATTTTCAGTGTTGGCCTCCAACCAAACAAATGTGCATAGAATGCATATTATTAGCAGGACATGCATAAAAATGCATATATTAGTGGAAATGTCATATCAAGATGCATTATACTGGGGGGGTATTGCTTGCAAAAAAAAAAGTATATTAGGCAAAAGTTCATACAAAAATGTGTGTATTGGGAGAGATGTGTGCTAAAAAGAGATTGGGTGGGCTCTTTTTCTAAAAAATTGCAAACTGACAAGGAAATTTGGCAAAGAGAACAGAAACTGAGAGAAATTGAAATTGACAACTCAAGTTTACCCAGTGTGCTTCGTGACCGAGTGAGGATTTGAACGCAGGTCTCTCTTGAGAGCTTTGCTGCTCCATAGCGCCTCCTGCTGATTGTGGCAGGGAAGGGAAACTATAGCCAGACCTCTAGCCCAAGAGGACCAGGTGACCTGGGCAGCTAATAGGGATCTTGGAGGCCCTACGCTGGTTCTCTCTTAGGACTGGCTGCTTAGTCTGAATAGCTTGCTCCTGGGAGAAGCTGAGCAGATCCTGGAGAACTCTGGTTTCACTTGCATGTGTGGCATTTCTTAAGCCTCTCCCTCCCCACAGCAAATCCACTAGAAGTGAACTGTTTATCAGGCCTGGTTCCTAAACTCTCACCTCCTTGGATGGCGCTGACTGCTTTCTCCAGGACAAAACCTTTTGCTGCCTCTGAGAGGTCCTGCAAGGCATTGACGTGGCTCTCAACCATCTGCTGCTGGACAGCGTCGGACAGCGCCAGAATGAAAGCTTCCCATTCCTGATAAAGGGGGAAAGAGTCAAACAGCATTTGCAGATCTCTATGACAAACCTAGACAGCATCTTAAAAAGCAGAGACATCACCTTGCCAACAAAGGTCCGTGTAGTTAAAGCTCTGGTTTTCCCAGTAGTGATGTATGGAAGTGAGAGCTGGACCATTAAGAAGGCTGATCGCCGAAGAATGGATGCTTTTGAATTATGGCGCTGGAGGAGACTCTTGAGAGTCCCATGGACTGCAAGAAGATCAAACGTATCCATTCTTAAGGAAATCAGCCCTGAGTGCTCACTGGAAGGACAGATCCTGAAGCTGAGGCTTCAATACTTTGGCCACCTCATGAGAAGAGAAGACTCCCTGGAAAAGACCCTGATGTTGGGAAAGATGGAGGGCACAAGGAGAAGGGGACGACAGAGGACGAGATGGTGGGACAGTGTTCTCGAAGCTACCAGCATGAGTTTGACCAAACTGCGGGAGGCAGTGGAAGACAGGAGTGCCTGGCGTGCTCTGGTCCAGGGGGTCACAAAGAGTTGGACACGACTAAACAACAACATCTCTATCTCTAGATATAGCTTTGCCAGTTGGACTTCTGCCTGATTGGCATGAGGGTGTTTGGGAGGCAAGCAGATTCAGGAGCAGCCTGGATTGCCAGCTTCTTCCCTTGGCCCTGCTCCAGTGTATTTAACACCCTCTTGACATGCAAGAGGGGAAATGACCTTTATAGAACAGCTTCGGCGGCTAAATTTCAGACAAAACCACATCTATTATTATTATTTATTATTGGTGATGATGATGATGATAGTTGGCAGCCACTGAAAACAACCCTGTTGCAAAGTCAGGAAACCTGCATTTCAGTCTATGGGGTTCCTGGACCCTCTCAGATCCCAGATGCAGACAGTCCAGTCCACCTGTCCTACCTGTGACTTCTCAACGCTGAGTCGCACCTTCTGCAGCCAAATCAGAGCACCTGAGGAACCAGCCATGAATTTCAACTGCTTTTCTCATAAGGAGTCAAGCGGCGCTTAGAGATCTGTTGCTACAACAGTCCCTTTTTTCAAACCGGAAACAGTTATTGTTTGATGCTAAATTTAGCTGTTGGAGATCAGGTGACCTTCACCTGCCTCTCTTACCTGCCCAGAGATGTTTCTTCAAAGTGTTTTTAAAATCACTTTAAATTGTAAAATTTTCTGCGTGGCATGCAGAGAACACAAGACTTTTTCTGTTTGAACAAGTTTTCATAGTGAAGATTTATTTATTTTTTAGACCAGTCTGAACCTGAAATTTCCACTAAAAACATTATCAGTGGGGTTTTTTTTAAATCGTTGAATCACTTTGAGCTGTTTCCCAGGAGGAGATTCATACGTGAAATGAAAAAAATCACATTTATAGTTATTTATAATTAACCCTGCCCCCTTTAAAAGATTGTTCGTGTGAACCCGCCTCTTCTCAATGCACCATGTGTCAGTCATTCCTCCCTCCCCTTCTGCCTCACTCTGCCCAACAGTAGGACCGGGCCTCTTGTTTTCATCTCAATTTATCAGCATGAGGGAAAGCACACTTACTTTCTCAATAAGTAGGTCTGGCAGTGAGTGTAGCTGTGCCTGGTGCCTTTCCGCCCAAAGGGTGGCATTTCCAGATAACTTGTGATGTGCACGAGTGGTGAAACCACAAGCATAAAAAAAGGGGAACTAACAAAAAAGGAGGAAATCTTATTCTCAACGGGGGCCTTGCGTGACTCTGTTTCTCCGCCTTGGCAGGAGGCAAGCAGACAGATATTAGCAATATTCCGCCATCTCTGAAACGTGGAACGATTCCCACACCCATCAGTCTTCTAAATGCAATTGTCATTCTCTTTATGGGAACAGGCAGTCGATAGTAACCACTTCCTCTAGATTGCCTCCGACATAACCGTCTGCAAGTAGCTACGGGGTTTCAGAACGCGGCAGGTCCTGCATCGGGTTGGGTGGAACAAATGCTGTGCCGGGGAAAAAATTGATCTTTTGCTGGTGTGCAAGTGAGGAAAGCCAAGGTTGCTTTTCCCCCCTTTTAATTCCTTTTAAACAGAAGAATCAGCATCTGCAGCCCAACAGCGGAGGGGCTGTGAATCCAAAAAGCCTGACATTTGAAATATTGCTGGCATTTGCGGGGCATCGTTTGCTCGGCAGGATAAGGGAGACCTGTGCACTGAGACCGGGTGGAACCTCTTTGTGGAGTAAGTACATTATAAACCATTATTTCCTTCTCCCTTCCCCTCCCCAACAAGCCTCGCCTATAACTAAACATGCAGAGCTTAATTTAATCCAGGGAAAGTCCCCAGTCTGTGGCAGGGATGGGGAACCTCAGGGATGTGAATGTGGCCCCCCGTGTCTTTCAATGTGGCCCCCAGGAGCCTCCCCAGGCCACGCCCTCCTTGAACTATCATAATGCCTCTTAGTTGCCTGGACAGAGGTATATGCATGCAAAAGCCTCTGACTTTTCTGTTGTGGGAAACATGCAGCTTCCTTTGCAAAGAGAAGATTTGGATCTGTTGCTCTGCTTACTTTTACGCTGGGCCACACCCACCACTGCAAGGTGGTCTCCAGAAGGGGGACTGTGGCGACTGAAAAATGTTCTCCTTCCACCCACCCCTCATCATGCTATGAGATCATTTTAAAATTCCAAGCATAAGTCTGGCTATTCTCAGGCAAAAAATGAGAGTGTTTCAGAGCGTGTGCAGAATGCCTTTCCCATGCCATGGAGTAATCCAAGCCGTATGCCCACCCCCACATGTCTGAGATTAGGGTGTGACCTTTAAAATCAGGAGTGGCATATATTTCTGGCTGATTTTTTTCCTTTTCTTTAGAAAAGAGATTACTGAAAACATTGAGTTTCGGGTGGAAAATTGGCCTAGAGGTGAAGCAACGGTTTCTCTGTGTGCATGTTTACACTGAATGTGTCAGATTTATGCCTGTCATGCAGTACCTCTTTTCTTCCTAAAGCTCCAGGTACAGTTCAGTGATGATGATGATGATGGTGATGAAGCACATAGTTGTAAAAAAAGCTCTTTTGGGCCTCTCAGGTTCCACAGTTGAGCCCTGGAGCGCTTGAAAGAGGTTAAGAACATCAGACGAGTCCAGTTGTTGCATCAGGCCAGGATCCTGTTCCCACAGTGGAGAACCAGCTGCCCCCAGTGGGAATCCCATAAGTGGGACTTGAGCGTAACAGCAACTCTCCCTCCTTGTAGTTCCCAGGAACTGGTATTCAGAGAGGTCTCCAACAGTGGAAGGAGAATATAGCCATTGTGGCTACTAGTAGACTCATCCTTGATGAATCTCATCCTTGATGAATTTGTTTAACCCTCTTTTTAAAGTCGGGGGTCATCACAACATCAGACTGTGCGGCTCACATGAAAAGCCTCCTAGCCCCCCCCCTCGTTTTCCCTGCTCGCTGCAATTATATCTGAAGCCTCACACCCTTTCAGCAGGCATGTGACATGAGGCACTCTTGATAATGAATGCTGCCGTTGTCTTGTAACTCCATTAGGTCCTGCATCTCAGGAGGCAACGCCCTCAGCCGCATCATCTTCCTAGTTTCTGTCTGAGTATGTCAGGAGCTTGCCGTTGCAGATGGCTCTCAAAGCATTGCTCAGCAAAAAGACGAAGCAGTTGAGAATCAAAATGTTGTTACGCAGTTCACAGGGCTGCCAAACAAAAAAAAGAACAATCCGTCTCATTTGGAATGGGGGAGAAATCAAGAGTCAGTTCGCCTTTAAGCTCCCTCTACCTTGCACATTTAAAGCAGCACCAGAGCACTTTAAGCAGTCATGGCTTCTCCCAAAGACTTCTGGGAAGTGTAGTTTATTAGGAGTGACTGGGAGTTGTTGCGAGACCCCTATTCTCCTCAAAGAGCTTCAATTCCCAAAGTTCCCTGGGAAGACGGATTGATGTTAAAGCACTCTGGGAATCGTAGCACTATGAGAGGAATAGGCATCTCCTAACACGGGTGGCACTGTGGGTTAAACCACAGAGCCTAGGACTTGCTGATCAGAAGGTCGGCGGTTCGAATCCCCGCGATGGGGTGAGCTCCCATTGCTTGGTCCCTGCTCCTGCCAACCTAGCAGTTCAAAAGCACGTCAAAGTGCAAGTAGATAAATAGGTACCGCTCCGGTGGGAAGGTAAACAGTGTTTCCATGTGCTGCTCTGGTTCATCAGAAGCAGCTTCGTCATGCTGGCCACATGACCCGGAAGCTGTACGCTGGCTCCCTCAGCCAATAAAGCGAGATGAGCGGCACAACCCCAGAGTCGGCCACGACTGAACCTAATGGTCAGGGGTCCCTTTACACCTTTAACGATTCTTGGCATCCTTAACAAACTGTAGTTCCCAGGACTCTTTGGGGGAAAACCACAGCTGTTCAGACTGGTATCATAGTGCTTTAAATATGTAGTAATGTATAGGCAATGCACTTTATATGCATCATTGGGATTTCAATGTATAGTGCAGATTTGGCCTTAAAGGTGAATCTGCCTAAATCACACTTCCCAACATCTAATTTCCATTAACCCAAGAGTAGTAGAAGTCCATTAAAAACCCCCACACACTTAAGGGGAAGACCCTCACCCCAGCAGTCAAGGACTGAGCATACTCAGTAGCCACGGGTGTTCAATATCAGTTGGAAAAGAAAAAGAGAAAACTCAGGTTGTGGATGGTGGGCAATTATCTTTGAGCTAATGGCTGGCTTGAACCCTGAAAATGAGCATTCCTGTGAGGTGGTAAGGACACACCGCAACATTTCATTGCAGCACGCACAAGTTACTGGAGATGGGGACTTTCACAGCGCCCTTGGCATGTGAATGGCAGATTTTAACCAGGGAGTTTCAGGTTCATAGCTTACAGTGAGGATCTTAATGCTTAAGGCTAGTTTGTGCAGATGGAGATGGCTTTTAAGGATTTAAGGTTCCGTAAACATCTTCTGTTATGCGCAGTTCCATGCTTCTGGACCTCTGAATGTGCCAGACCTTTTTGGAATGCACTTTTCTTCGTAATCCCGAGAGCTAGGATCCATTCAATCTATTTGCTGTAAATCAAATAAACCTTCTTGTGGTGCTCTATTCTCTTGCCAGCACTTTCAGTGGCGTGATGCATAACTTACCAATACTGGAGATAGATGATGGCACCTTGGACAATGTGGAGGCAAGGGAGAAGAAGGCAGTTGGGGGGAAAGGAGAGCCGCGGCCCATGGAAACCTCCTATGAGACGGAACGTCCACCATCTCCAAAGATTAGGATTAAGATTCCTCCCAATCTGAGGTAAGCAGCTGCCTTCAGGAGTCAACCCATCTACTGCAGGGATGCGGGACATCTGTGGGCCTCTGGAAGTTGGTGGACAATAAATCCCATCATGTCTGACTATTGGTCCTGCTGGCTGATGAGCTCCTAGCCATATCTTTGTTGACACTCTCCAAGAGCTCTGAAAGGTTAATTTGACAGGACTTACCTTTGTGGAAGCCATGCTTATGTCTTCTTCAGAAATACCAGATCATCTATATGCTTGGTCATTCTATCTTTAATCATGCTTTCCACCATTTCCCCCGTGTTAATTCCCAGAGGTCCATTTCTAAAAAAAAATGGGTGTTATATTGGTCACTTTCCAGCGCTCAGATATGGAGGCTGATATTATGGATATTTTTGTCAGTGAACGCCTTCTGGAACAAGTGATTTGTCCACTTGTCTATAAGGCCTAGAAGTTCATCTCTTGACACCACCATTTGCCTCACCACCACTGGTCTACAGAGGCTCTTTGGAATTTCAGGTCACTCCCAGCTCTGCTTGGAGAAGTTTCCATGGATTTAACTTGGGACCTTCTGCATCCAGAGCAGGAGCCTCTACCACTGGGGTATGGTCCTTCCTGGATTATATTCTGCCTAAAGAGGGGTGTAGGTTACCTCTGCACCATGAAGCATTATAACACCACCTTAACCGCTACAGATTCCCTCAAAGAATCCCAGGAACCATCATTTGCTAAAGGTTCTGAGAATCAGGAGACGCTTAATAAAACTACAACCCCCTGAGAGCTTTAGCAATTAGCTCCTCTTCTGAGAAAACTCTGGAAAATATAACCCTGCGAAGGGAACTAGGGTATCCTAATAATACATCCTTAACAAATGACAGTACCCAGACTGTTTAAAGGAGTACAATACTGCTTTAAATGTATACTGCAGATGTGGTCTTTGTTCATTCTGCTCCCCCCCCCCCACAGTAAAGAGAATACTTTTAACAAGAGCCGCCTCTTTGGTGCTATCGTGAGGGGGAACCCTGAGGAGCTGGAAGGACTGGGGGACTATTTGCGAAAAACCGGCAAATTTCTTACCAACTCTGAGTACACAGGTAGGCCCGAGCCCGTGAGCTAGAGTTTTTGTTAAAAAAACCTTCTTCCTGATGTAAGAATAGGCAAGCTTCACAGAACTATTTGCAAGATTGATGAGGACCATCAGAGTGCAGAGGACAGATAGTGATGTTTGGAGTGGAGAAATGTGATTTACAGTGGTACCTCGGGTTACGTAAACTTCAGGTTACAGACGCTTCAGGTTACAGACTCCGCTAACCCAGAAATAGTACCTCGGGTTAAGAAGTTTGCTTCAGGATGAGAACAGAAATCATGCTCCGGCGGTGCGGCAGCAGCGGGAGGCCCCATTAGCTAAAGTGGTGCTTCAGGTTAAGTACGGACCTCCGGAACGAATCAAATACTTAAGCTGAGGTACCACTGTACTAAATCACATTATTTTCTCAGGGAAGTTGTGTTGTTTTTAACTAACTAACATTCACATCTGGCGTTTCTTCGGAATTGTAAAAATAAAAGAAGTAAAAAAAAGAAGTGGTTAAAATCAGTGCAGTTTTGAATTGTTAGTCTTCCATTTTGATCCAATTGTATCCAGACTTAGGCCAAAACCTGCTCTTTGATCTCATGAACCATCATGCAAAAATTGCTTAAAATCAGTGCAGTTTTGAAATGTATATTCTGTTACATCTGATTCAAAATGGTGTTCAACAGTATCTGAACATAGACAAAAACCTGCTCTTTGGTCTCAGGCAACAACATACAAAAGTTGGCTACGTTATTTTAAGGGGGGGGGGTACAAGCACATAGAGAAAAGACAAACTTTCCCAAACTATAGAGTAGATTGGTGGTTCCCATTATTTTTGGTATGGCAAGCCACAAATCCAAATTTATTTGCTATGTTGACCCATCCATTTACTGTCAACCGAATGTTGGACCTTACGCAGGATTCAAACCTGCTTGGGTTTTCAACCCCGCAGGCTGGGAAAATCTGTAGTAGAGGAAATCATAAAGACCCATAGCACAGTTACAGGTACAGTTATCCGCTTTGATTGCAGAAGGTCCCTGGTTCAATACCTGGTATTTCTGGTGAAAAAGATCAGGGAGCGCATAATGGGCAAGAGGAGAAATGACAGAGAAGTTCCATTTGATTCACAAATGCAAGCTTGCTTAATTCACAATTCATAATACATATGCAAATTTAAAGCATCTATGTTCTTCCCTGAATATTTGGAATGGATGGAGTTGCTTATATGGCACCCCAGCATGAAGTCTGCTTGATCTTTATGCACCTATTTTGTGAGGAAATTATTTATCTCTGTTCCTAGATCGCATATTAAATATTTTCATCTTGCTCAACTAGTGCTTTTGACCTATAGGAACACAGTTCAGCTGTGTTTCAATATGACGGAAACTTGAGACAATTTCCAAGATTCAGGGATCCTCTCGCCCTCTAGAATACTTTGGAACAGGATCCTTAGCCTAGGATCCAGCTCTTCTCAGAAGACATTATAAGATACACCTCCTGCACCCCTTTCATTGGATATTCTTAAAGCATTTGATAGACTTGAATGGCCCTATACGCTGTCCTTGTTAGAAAAAAGAAATGCACTTCTCCAAACAAAGGATGGAAATCCCTTCTCTTCCAGATGGAGAAACGGGCAAGACCTGCTTGATGAAGGCCTTGCTGAATTTAAAAGATGGGGCAAACCCCACCATCCCTTTGCTGTTGAAGATAGACCAGGAGACCAAGAACCCAAGGCCTCTGATCAACGTAGCTTGTAAGGATAGGTTCTATAAAGGTAAGGACCTTGGGGTGGGGAGACAGCATTAAAAAAAGAACTCCTCCACTCAGGCGTAGGAGAACATGCTTGTTTTCTACGTTTGACTTCTTTAATGATTTTCTTTCATGCCATTTTTGTTCTGCTAGGCCACACAGCACTCCACATTGCCATTGAGGAGAGGAATCTAGATCTGATCAAGCTCCTGGTGGAGAACGGCGCTGACGTCCATGCCAAGGCCTGTGGAAAGTTCTTCCACCAGCAGGAGAAAGGAGCATGCTTCTACTTTGGTAGGTGATACTGTGTGCCTAAAGTCCGCTGTCACAGATTCTTGAAGTGGGTGCTCGTTTTTGTAACTTGTGCCAAAAGCAGCCATTCCTCTCCCAGCTTTGCTTCTGTTTATCTCCTTCCTCCTCCAGGTGAGCTTCCCCTCTCCTTAGCTGCTTGCACCAACCAACCAGAAGTGATCAGGTATCTCCTGGATAACCCTCATCAGAAGGCCAACCTGGCAGAGCGGGATTCCCTCGGCAACACAGTCCTCCATGCCTTGGTGATGGCGGCCGATGATGCGGATGAGAAGAACAGGGAGCTGGTGATTGGGATGTACAACAAGATCCTGATGCACAGTGCTACGCTCAACCTGAGCCAGAAACTGGAGGAATTAATCAACAGGAAAGGCTTGAACCCTTTGACCCTGGCCGTCAAGACTGGAAAGATAGAGGTAAGTCAGTTGGGTTGTTGTTGTTTAGTCGTTTAGTTGTGTCCGACTCTTCGTGACCCCATGGACCAGAGCACGCCAGGCACTCCTGTCTTCCACCGCCTCCCGCAGTTTGGTCAGGCTCATGTTTGTAGCTTCGAGAACACTATCCAACCATCTCATCCTCTGTCGTCCCCTTCTCCTTGTGCCCTCCATCTTTCCCAACATCAGGGGTCTTTTCCAGGGAGTCTTCTCTTCTCATGAGGTGGCCAAAGTATTGGAGCCTCAACTTCACGATCTGTCCTTGCAGTGAGCACTCAGGTCTGATTTCCTTAAGAATGGATGCGTTTGATCTTCTTGCAGTCCATGGGACTCTCAAGAGTCTCCTCCAGCACCATAATTCAAAAGCATCCATTCTTCGGCGATCAGCCTTCTTTATGGTCCAGCTCTCACTTCCATACATCACTACTGGGAAAACCATGGCTTTAACTATACGGACCTTTGTTGGTAAGGTGATGTCTCTACTTTTTAAGATGTTGTCTAGATTTGCCATCGCCTTTCTCCCAAGGAGCAGGCGTCTTTTAATTTCGTGACTGCTGTCACCATCTGCAGTGATCATGGAGCCCAAGAAAATAAAATCTCTCACTGCTCCATTTCTTCCCCTTCTATTTGCCAGGAGGTGATGGGACCAGTGGCCATGATCTTTGATAAAGTCAGTTGGGAGCTTATCATAAATTGTATTTCTGAGCTTAGGAACCTGTGACCTTCCAAGATTGTGTGGATTCCAGCTCCCATCATTCTCCTGGCTGTTGGCTACACTGGCTACATGGAGATGGGAAGTCCAACAATATCTGGAAGGCGGCATCTTCATGTCATGCTAGCAGAGATTCAGACCACACAAGATAGGTCAGTGTTGTCAACCTCCAGAACCGGAACAGCTTGCAGGTGGCAAAGAGGGAGATCCCCGGCCGCGTCCTGCCTTATATAGGGCAGGCCACGCCCCCAGAGCCAGCCGATTGGCTGGCCAGGGAGTGACGCGGCTGGGAATCCTTCTAATCGCATGTGGGCTGGGCCATGTAGCCCGCAACCCCACCTTCTCTGTAGGGCGGAAGTGGCTGTGTCAACCTCCAGCTAGGAGGCTGAGACTGAGAGGGCAACTTGCAGAAGGCAACTTAAGAAGATTTGTACCAGGGGATACATGATTTCACAACTCCATTACAGTGCAGAAACTTGAATATCATGTCCCAGGGATGGTGAGGCTCAGGCCCAGGATGCAGGTGCAGTTCTTCAAGGCTCTTTTCCCAGCCCTTGGAACTCTTTCTAAGCCACACCCCTTACTGGCAGAGATGTTTTGGTCTGGGGGTCACAGGGGGTCAAATACCCATTATAGCAGGCTACCAGTGTCTTCTTCTTCAGTATCCCAGAGCTGCCAATCAGCACGAAATGGGAACTTTTTAGCCACTGAGAAGAAGTATTCCCCACCCTTTGTGCTGACTGGAGCCAATCAGAGTGGAAGGAGGTAAGTCAGCCACTCAGGATGGGCTCCTAAGGTCACTCTGGAGAAGACATGCCAGCAGAACACTGAGGAGTTGTTGGTCTGTGTTGTTGTTGTTGTTTATACCACCATTCATGCACAAAATACACAAAATACATAATATAACAACGGAAAAAGCAATACGCCCCCCTCCGGCACATTTAAAAGGCCATAGATTGTTTAATCAGCCAAAGGCCTGCTTGAAGAGAAATAATAATAATAATAGTAATAATTTATTATTTGTACCCCGCCCATCTGGCTGGGTTTC